AGATGGGAGATTTATTTTTTGAAAATAACATCACTGAAATGCGAACTATTTAGACGTACACACTCTTCGAATCTGGATCTCAATTTAAGAAAATCGCTGGCACATTTCCCATGGGATACAGGACATTTCCTCGCATATGTTATTCTTGTGCTGGACAGCTGTTGTGGTTGATTTATCAGCGTAAACGCAACTTTTCACGTATCTCCCATCGTTTGTAAAAGTACTAGATACACAATCCCATGCAAAAGTTCTCTTAAAACTATCACCAATTGTGTTTAATTATTCTAGTTGAAATAAATATACAACAATGTAAATTGAACCTTAAATGCAATGGCTTAAAGTTGTTTTCACAAAAGAAATATTAAAAGCGCGCTCAAATATTCAAATGAGTACTCATTCGGCGAGGACATTGATTGTGTATTTGTACTTTTTGATCGATGGTATCCTCAGAAAAAAATCCAGTGGTGCGAGGCCTGTATTATCAAAATGCTCTGATTTTGAAGTAAGAAATTGATGTAGAAACCTTTTATGGTTACGTCATTTTGACGAATGATATGAAATACTTACTTTATTCTTATTATTCTGTACAAGAAATACAAGTTATTTGGTTGTTGTAAATATTCCTTTATCTTTTTTCTCGTAAAAATACTGTCTTCTAAGAGTCTATAAATCTCAAGAATACCTTTTTATTTACTACTTACGATACGAGTCTAATGTAGCTGACAAATTGTTAAGACTATTGTAAAAAAATCCTTTCATATTCTATAAAACAATTTTTGCACAATTTATTGGGATAGAAAATTTACATATTTTTATGTTGCTCAGACTAAGGAATAATAAAGGCAGAGGGTCATAGATATAAGCATCAAGCCAAACAATAATGTGTTAAAATAATATACATATTTCATGTTAATAAATAATAATAGCTGACAGATTTTAATTATTATAAAAAAAATTAAAGCTAACATTATGATATCTCTCTTTCAAGGGGAAGAGAGTTAATTCTTAAAAAATATATTATTTTTATTATTCATATTTTATTCTCCAAAATGTTATATTAATTGAACTAAAAAAATTCTGTTATTCTTTAAAGAAAGTAAACAATCTGTATGGCAAAATCTAGGATAGTAGCATAAACTGCAAATCTCGCTACTATATTTGACTGGCATTAATATTTGGCGGACTACGTCTATACTGAGGTCGCTAGTGACTAAAATATGACATGAGAGAGATGTTTAAAAGGTTAATCGAACAAATATATTATAAGTAGCACTTATTTATATACATTATTTCAATACACTTTTAAATTCTCTTTATTCTCTACGTAATAGTCTTAGCCTGTATTTTCAAAGAATGGCATAATTATTATGTAAACTTCTAAATCATTTTTCCTCTCACATTTTTCATCTCACAATAGAGTAAGTTAAACAGTATATAAATTATATTAATATAATAATATAATGATTACAAACAGCTTAAAAACGTTACCTACGAAGTTTTCACCGACCCCCATCACAAAGACTGGACGGAGTGGGAAGACCCCAACATGGAGAAGCTTGGCCACGCATATGATACTTAATAAAATTCTTCGTAGTAATACTCTTTATTTTTATTTAATACTCTTTATAATTTAAGTTTAGATCAAACTCTATTTATGAAGAGTCTGTGGAAGCATATTTATAGCAGTCCGAAGAAAAGTAAATAATGATTTTTATGGCATTTTCGGGTGGTATCATGGCCATATGAGAATACTAGCGGCTCACCTTCGCTTCGCTCGGGTTCGTTGCTAATAAAAAATAAAACCAAATCTATCTCACGGGAACCGTCATCTTTTGGGTTAAAAAACCTATGTGCTATTCCAGAGTTTAGTCTATCTCTGTGCTAAATTTCATCCTGATTCTGGCATGATTAAGTAACAGACTCATCATCAACAAATCCATCCAACCAAATTTTCGCATTTATATACTACTATTTATATGCGAAAATTAATGATTTAAAAAATATATATTTATTCAGACAATAAGTCTCTATCTTAAATAAGTATTTATTAGAAAGCTAAAAGCATACTAAACTGATCAAGTCAAACACTAAGGTCGAGTGGCTTATATCTAACTAGCAACTTAGTCTTGCTGAGCTCTAGTATATCTACAGATGTCTTTTTTCCATACATATTTTCTTTTTTTCAAACTAACTGTATGGATAGCGCAAACTACTCAACGGATAGTTTTTCCGACTACAAATACATTTTTTTTTTAATATGTTGAGACATTAACACACAGCACCATCTAATTCCATGGTAAGCTACGAGGCCTGTGTTATGGATACCTGATGGTGGGTAAACTACATATATATATTTTTAAATACATACACATTATAAATATAAACACCCATGACTAGAGTACAAACATTCGTACTCGTCACACAAATGAATGCCCCCAGCGAGACTCGAACCCGCGACCGCTGGCACAGCAAGTAGGGTCACTACAAACTGAGCCAAACGTGCCGTCAATTTATTATGATTTCTGAGTATAAACACATTCTATTGTAATGAAAAACTTATAGCGCTCAACGGTAGTATAGCTTCCTATTAGTCAAAAACTTTTCAGAATCGGATTTTCAGAGATTACGAACTACATCCAAAATAACAAACTTTACCTCTTTATAATGTTAGTATAGATAATATCTATATAGAATCATATATTAGGTGTTCCTTAAACTCGGTAACCACATTGATTTTTCTATTTTTTTGCAAGAAAAATTAAAAGAAGATAGGGCTTTTCTGCAATTTGTAAGGTTGTATAAAATGTGCTAAACAAAAACTGTTGCAAAAATTGTAACGCCTGATACAAAGTATGAGCAATTTTTATATCAAGCACTTCACTCGGGTCCATCCATAGGTCGATTCTCCATACAAACTTTCATCCCCATGTTAAGGGATGATTTCCGGGATAATATGTATCCTATGTCCTTCCCAGTGTCTCAAACTATCTTCTTATCAAATTTCATCGGTGAATCAATCATTTCTCAAGTAAAGCATATAAAACTCATCATACTATTTATATACTAATTATATCTATTCCATCCGAGTCGCTAGTGTTTAATAAATATCTTTTTTAGTTTTTACTAGTAAGGCAAGTTCAGCTCGCTTAATCAATAATATTTATTAATGTACTATATTAAGTTATATTAAACTTTATTTACAAGAAAAGAAATATAAACAGAACTTTCGTTTATATAAAATACTGTTATTTGGAACATAATGTATATCATCAGAAATTGTTACGCCCTGGAGATATGAAAATGTAGCAATAGACGACGAAAATGTAATGAAGAATTCGATAAAATATTTCTTGAAACGAACATTGTGGCGAATTACATATACTTGACTGGCACTATCTACTACGTCAGAACTCGTGTGAGGTGTAAATACTTATCTTTTATTTTATTTTATTATTTGTACTGTATTATTTGTACTAAATTTCTTAATGGCAAAATTGCCCAATTAATTGCTTTTTCAAATTTTTCAACTGTTTTCAAAAAATAGGTTTATCAAAATCTGCCAAATATTTTGAATAACGTGTAGAGTTTGTGAAGTTAGCGCTTGTAGAGCTAGGACGCTTAGACTTAGAAGCTTGGCTCTACATGAGATCTGATAACTTTTTGACAGTGCGAGTCATATAGTCTCGTCTTGGCAACATTTTACAAAAAAATGTTTTTAGTGGGATGTTATTTTATTTCAAACTCTATATTTTAAAAATATACTTTTTATGATACATAAGATACATATTCAGTATGTCACATAATGAGTAATTCTAAAAGTATCAAAATATGCTATAATTTCAAAAGCCTTAAGCAAAATCTAAGAATACAAAATAAAACAACCAATCATCAATAATTATTTATCTTTTATTCCACATAGTGCTGAATAAATAAGCCTTATACTAAAATAAATTATTTTTACAACTAAGTCGACGGGCTCGCGCTTATAACCTCAGAATTAGTCAGTCTTGAAGAATCGTAATGCCTTAAGCTCTATTAAGATAAGGAAGCAGCTTAAGACATTACGTTATGCTAAATGCCAGATCACCATGGGCATGTTCTTTTAGTACGTAAGAGGTTATATTATTTAAATTGATAGTATTTACTGTATTACTAAAAATATTTGATCTTCTAATAGATGAGGGATCTTAGGAGAAGAAACGTCTTACGCAAAAAATGAACAGCCCCTACAGAATCAACTACTTCTAGTGGTGATCTGGCATTTAGCTTTATCTAACTTGATCCACAGTCCAATTTTGTTAGTTCGTCGGCATTGCCATTGTGGGGCTAAACATTTGGTTTTGCATTGCATTTTGCAAATTTTGCATTTGAGGTAAGGTATACATGGGCATATTCATTGATGCACTTAATTGCGGTTCTGGAAGGCCGAATAGTATTCTGAAGTAGCGCGCGAGGTTCCAGAAAAGATTGGACGTCGCCGGTACCCTGCGTAACAATAAAGAGTTAAAACGATGCAAATATCAATACAAATGGTTTAAGCTCACTCAATAACTTTATTAACTCTATTTTTGTGCAAATTAATGATATCGATGAAAATTTTGTTTCTATTAAGATGATAATTTATATCGATGAATAATAGATATCTAAAAATATATGGAAACATAAGGATATAATAATACATACAGAAAGGCATAACGGTAAAATTCGTCATTTTAATATATTTTTTTTAAATTCTAGTCTTTAACGATTATAGAATGACATCTTGCCTAAGCTTCAAGTGATTTATGATACATTTATTATTGCATACAATAGAATTAAAATAAATTTATTGAGTCTCTTATAATATTAGGTATATTAAATTTACATTTTAATTGACATTTACAAACCCATATTAATAAATGCGTGTACAGTTATTTAAATAATATTAAAAACCCTTCACCAAAATATACTACGAGTATAATCAAATTATACTATGAACAAATATATTATAATCTCTATTAATGCCTAATGTGTTCGACTTTAGATGTAGCATTTTTATGGGGTACTTTAATTTTTTTAATTTTCTTTTTCTTAATCTTTTTCTTAGTTTTTTTAATATCTTTCACATCGTCATTGAAATGATTATGTATCACTTCATGAATTTCAAATAATCCATCGATCGTATCTAAACATATCATTACAAAATTATACGCGATACTATAATACAAGGGTGGTGTAGACTTTAATGAATTGCGTAGAACTTTTTTATAACTATCTGCTTGTTTCATAACAGCTGAATAGGGATCATTTAGAAATCCAAAAAAATCTAAAAAACCCCTATCTGTATTTTCATTTACTTCAAAACGTTCTTTTAAAGATAAACCTCTTGCTTCATTTATATCTATACTTCTCCTTACCCTTTTCTTTCTTTTTTTATTAAGTTTCTTTCTACGCTTTTTATCTTTTTTCTTGTGAGGCCTACTTGTGTTAGTTGAATTCAATATAATTATTGGTTTCCAATCACTAGGTTCTAAAGAAATTACATCACTAGGAGTCGTTACAGATAAGTTGGTAAGATTGGCAAAAACGTTGCGCCGCAAAATTGGCTTTGCATAAGGCAACAGTCTGTTATTATTTGGTTTTTGAATAAAAGTATTAGGATTTATAAAGTATTTAACACGAGGATAATAATATGTTTGTGGATAGTTATATTTATATTTCTTCGTTTTAATATAATCTAAAAAATCCTTATTGTATTTCAACTTATCTAAATCTACTTTAAATTCAACATATTTCTTTGGCCTGTGTCTCGGTGATTTTCTATACGACATCTTCCTTTGGGCAATATTTCTGGGTTGAGGTACTAATATTTCTCTCGGCCGTTTAGTTTTCTCAACTTCTGGTTCTACTATGGCAGACACGTCAGAATTGAGACCTCTGAACGTTGGCATTGTGTAAAAAACACTGGCGATTGGATCGACGACGCTCCTGATTTTGTCAACTACTGGTTCGAGATATTTGAGCAGTTTTGACTTACCATCCCATCTTTCTGCAGCTCGTGTAGAGTTAAGAACGCTCGGCGCTTGTTGCGACTGTTGAGCACTCGCATCATTTGAAACCAAATCGTGTGAGTGTGTATTTGAGCCCATTGCTGTGGGACTATACATCTCAGGAGACGCAAATTGCTGGTTCACTCCACCAACGGAGTACGCGTGTGATGACGCGCTCGGAAAATCGATGGGATACTGCGAGTAAAGGTATGGGTGGTTTTGCAATCCGACGCTGGAATGCAAATAATGTATGGTAAGTTAAATGGTATAAGCTATATTAATAGCTGCCAGTCATGTTCTGTCATCAGTAATAGTCGATAGTTCCGTCCTTGAGTCTTCAGAAGTCCATGCTTAGTCCATAGTATTTGGTATTTGATCGGAGTCTTAATCATACTGTTATGTTAATATTGTACGTATTTAACCGTATTTTTTTTTTATACTGTGCCAATTCTAACACGAAGAAATATCTTATATTCAGTTTTTTTTTATAAATGCAATCACGTCAACAAGTCCGGTGAAATCTCATAAATTAAATATGAACATAGCTACAGTGCGTGTCAGTAAATAGTCCGTATAGTAAAAATGTCTGTACAGTCATGCGAGCAAATGATTAACATTCTTAGCAGACATCGATGCAAATTTTTTTCTTTACCGCTTTCGCGATTTCCGATTTCAATTCCGACGATTATTGATATTTTCCAATTATTAGTTCGATAATTACACGCACGATAAATAATAAAAAAAAGTTAATATATTATTGCGTGTACACGTTCAAATAGTGATCATAAAAAAGCAAGTTTATTAAAAGAGGAAATATTAAAAGTTGCATCGTTGTCACTTTTATTAAAAGAAACATTAGAAGGTTAGCCCATATTTTATATACATTGTAGTTATAAAAAAACTTATTTATTATGTAAACTAACATTCTTAAATTTTTTTTAACTAGATTTGACTAGATAGACATTAGCAGTTCATTAATCAAATTTCTAATTATTAGTTATTTTCTAATTCTCTTTAAGAATAAAATTATTAGAATTTGTAATTATAAGTTATTTTATACCTATTAAAACCTTTTTGAGGTGTGAGATTTTACTAACTCGGCTCGAGCCGGTGGTATCTTCCTCACGAACTGAGTACACTACTCTTTAAATTAAATGGACGATTTAAAAGTGCTTGTAATAATTCTAAATGAATAAAGTTTCATTTTATTCATTCATTCATTGAATACTAATTTAGGTATTACTATAAATAAGAAACCACTTTAATGCTAATTCAGTCAAAGTATATGCCATCTACTTTTATAAGTTACACATATAATTTCTGTATTAAAAATGATTTTTTACCTAATTTACTACTGTAAAATGTGCTGTAGTATCAAGTAAAGGTGGTCACTAACTAAGGATAATTAATTAATTACGCAGTTTTTTAGACTTTTTCGTAAATAACATAAAAAATATTACAACCAAGTCTGATTCAGTCAACAAATATTGGAATCTTTTTTTTCTTTTATTTTACAATTTGTTTTCGGCATTGTACTCTTACTACTTCTTTTATAAATCCACCTACCTACCTCAATATCCCTAACGTAATCTTCAAATATTCAGCCATATAGTTTACCCAAATAATCTATATGTCAGCCTCCTCTATATAAATATCGCTAACGATGACCAACCAAAGCATTTTTATTAAAAAAAACTTCTCAAATATGCAATTTGAGAATATTTCTGAACAAGAATGCTAAAAAATACTAAATTATTACTAAAGTAAAACTTAAAAAAATCAAAAAATCTTACCCAGCACCATAGCTTTCGTAGAGTTTCTTCATCGCCATGCCAACAGTGACCATGAGAGCCATTTTACTTGCAAGGAACGCCTTGATCGTTATAACTGATACCATGAACAAAGCAAAAATGACAACTCCTGCAGACTTCATTCCGAAGAGTAGAGGTACCACCGCTTGCATCATCTTGCGTCTAGTCCGCCTTCTTTCTGTAAGCATCCAATTAATACATGTACATTATATTTTATATTATATTAGCGACTCACCCTAGCTTGATTCCCTATACAAACATTTATCCCCATTTTCACCACCTTAAGGGATGATTTTTGGAAGAAAAAGTATCCTATGTCTTTCCTAGAGTCTCAAACTACGTTCTTACCAAATTTCATCTAAATCGGTTCCATACATCCAGAAATTCCTACCTACAACGTCACAAACTCACAAACCTTACCTCTTTATAATATTAGTATAGATATGTCACATACTATGTATTGATAAGAAAAAGGAATATATGTATATATATATATATATATATATATATATTCGACCCTTTTTAACGTGCCACAACTAGACACGGGCCTTTCTTCAGTACGAAGGGGATCAGACCATGGGCCACAAGGCTGGCCAAGTGCGAGTTGGCGGACTTCACATGTCTTTTGAAAACTTGCTATATTCTCTCAGACACTATATTTTCCTTCACCGTTAAGACAAGTGCGAATCATTTCCAATCATATTGGAAATGATTCTCATATGAAAATATCAGAGGCGCGAGGCCCGGGATTTGAACCCGCTTCACTCGATTTCCCAAGCGAGCGTTTACCACTGGCCTACCACTGCCTCAAAAAGTATGATTATATAATTTTGAAATATTTAAATACATAAGCGAAATCTACATCTTAATCACAATTTGTAGTTAGAATTTTGATTAGCATGGTTTTGCAGAATACAATTTTCTCTCTTTAGTTCAAAATATGTTGTTTTTAAATTATATAATAAATAGTATGTATTGACATAAACACATGTCCTGTAATCAAACGTGTTGGCAATCACTCTAAATATATGATTAAAGAGAATTTAATTACTCGATTATTATTCGTCTTATAATCGATTCATTCATTAATGATGTATACTTAATCTCAATAAACATTAGTCAAAGCGATTTGTGTTGAAAGCTGTTATGTAAATGCATAACGAACGGTGATTAACGTTAAGTACATTAATTAGTGTTAGCGGTGACAATAGGATTTACGGAATATGTAGTTTGCTGAAAATTTTGGAATTGCCGCAATTAAGGTCCTATTTTCTCTAAATGGGACAGAGAGGGTCCATAATACGTTGCCTGGTCGATCTTATATCTATACATATATAATAAAATTCTAACTAAGTCGAAACTGTACATTAAATATTTTTTGGAAAATCTTATTGAAATAGACATTATTATCGATACAGAGGCCAAATCTATAGATTTAAGAATTTTTGTCTGTCTGTCTGTTACCGCATCACGGAAAAACCGCTAAAAGGATTTTAATGTTTGGTATAATAATAGCTGGTTATTCGGGTCAACATATAGGATATTTTTACTGCGGGAAAATATCTCATCTCTGAGAAATCGATACTAAACGTTAAAACGGAAGCAGGGACGAACCCGAGCGAAGTGAGGGTGAGTCGCTTGTATTATAATATAAACTCGAACTCGGATTAAATCCCTTATTTGATTCAATGGTATAATATGTGTTCGTAATATTTTTTGTTATATTTTTTTATGTTATTTCGTTTTATATGTCGCTGTCCGTTAACTGGCAGGGGGACTGTGACACTTTTACTCACTAAAACTCACAGCGGAACTAACTATATCATTGCGATTGTGAAAAATTGTAGCATCTCATGAAAAACACTTAAGGCGCCAAATTAAAAAAAATCTACACTATTTGTCCCTAAGCTATCATATCCATTGATGCATGAAAAATGAACATACCAACAAACATTTTTTATTTATAATATTAGAGAATATTATATATTATTATTACATTAAAAGGTACGAGTCGCTAGTATTTTCTACATCCAATTAGAGATCTTTTTTCTGTAGTTGTTGTATATTTTAATTTTCTTTTTTTTTTTCATTATTTAACGTATAACCATTCCAATCTCTGTTATCTTTTAATAATACAAAATAATTATAAAATAAAGTTGGAGAATTGTATTGTAATGTGCTATTCACATCAGTCTGTTTGTTCGTTATGTTCTTCTAAACTACACAACGGATTTTGGTACGGTTATAAATATTTAGTTTTTTTTTATAAAAATAATTCTAGTTAAAATTTGGTAATAAAGGCAGTAAATTTGAGCGAAACCAGGGCGTGCAGCGAGTTTTCATTAAAATAATCGATTCCTTATTTCTCTTCTTCTTTAAGAACAAGTAACTACATAAATTATGAAATGCCACATTTAAATGGTCAATAAAGTTTACCCTATAAGAAAATCGAATCCATGTCTTTTGACGTAATTACTAGTGCTACTATGACAAAATCTCCAGTAAACCATCAATTTTTTTTTTACTTGGGTAGCGGTAGCCCAGTGGTAACGCGCTCGCTTGGAAAACCGACTGAAGCGGGTTTCAATCCCGTGTCTTACACCTCTGATATTTTCATGTGCGAATCATCTCTAACTTGATTACCGCTTATCTTACGGTGAAGTAAAACATAAACCTGCATGTCTGAGAAAACCTAGCAATTTTTTAAAAGACGTGAAGTCCACCAACTTGCACTGGACCAGAGTGGTGGACTATGGCCTGATCCCCCTCATATTGAACGAGGCCCACCCCCAGCAGTAGGACGTTAAAAAGGGTGGGTTATGTACTCAGACATACTCTTAATAATAATTCATATGAATCCACCACTAGATTGACTCAAAATCAATGATTTCGATTGTAAATAACTAATCCGTAGCCATAAACTAGCAATCAAATTGGAACACAATAAACGTTATTTGTTTTTCTCTCTTCCAGTCACAAAATAATAAAAAGGACATTAAAGTGTAGGTGTTTGTTTACGAGGATTTTATTTATAGCCTATTATTAAAGTGTTCTGATTATTTGTTTGAACAATTTCTTTAAAGTTTGTATAATCTTTTCTAAAGTTAATATTATAGTTTAAGCTTGTTTGTTTGTTCTTTTACGTAGCAACAGAGTAAGGAATGAATGCTATTTATCGCGCACTGATAGTATATGGGTTGGACATGAGAAGACCTACGACAAGGCCAAACCTCGTCAGTAAACCTACATGTCTAAGAAGACTAGTTAGCACTTAATCTGCTTGGTGAATTATAGCCTGATCATATACGCATTGAAAGCCTGTTCGCATTGAAAGAATTGCCTGTTCCTAGCAGTGGGCTAACGTTACCAAAAGGGCTTCTTTAACTGGAAAACTTGACCGTGAGTAAGTTACTCTCCAGTATGCCGTACATTTTTGGACTAATTTTATAACTAGGCAGTCAGCATAAACATATTTGGGTAGTTGAATTCAACAGTTTTAACAGCCCAATGGTCGAAAACGACCGAAATTATTATTGAAAATTTGAAGAAAAAATAATATATAAATAGAATTTACCTATCTATATAAGAAAAAAACTTTTTTTTATTGATAACACTTAACCTCGTCAATAGCTACTAAACAAAAAGATAATTAGTCGAAAAAAAAGATGAGGAAAATGTACTGAACTGTGTATTTGCCTATTTATATAATATAGACTAGTAACCCACCCTCGCTCCGCTCAAGTTCGTCCTTTGTTAAGTTTTAACGTTCAGTGTAGGTTTCTCAGAAATGAGATATTTTCCCGCAGTAAAAAGTATCTTAAATGTTGATCCGAATACCCAGCTATCATTATACCAAATTTCATGAAAATATGTCCAGTGATTTTCTCGTGATGCGGTCACAGACAAACAGACAGACAAAAAATCTAAAAACTACACTCGTACTCGGCCTCTGTATCGATAATAATGACTATTTCAATAAGATTTTCAAAAAATATTTAATGTACAGATTCGACTCAGTTAGAAATTTATTATATGTATAGATAGATGACTAAAAAAGTATTATAGGTAACTGATCAATCTGCCCATTTTTCTCGTCTAAGTAGTCTAATATTATGTAAAATTGTTATACATTTTTCGTCAAAAGCCATAAAATATACTTTTATGAAAAACATTGGTTGAAAGTATCAGTGTCTACCAATAAATTATACTTTTTGGCACAGTATTCGGATTTAAGCTAATCGTAAATTTTCTTTTAGTTCTTATAGTATTACAAGGTTTAATTTCACTACTAATAAGAAAAAGCGCTTTTAAAAAAATGTCTTCATTTTTTGGCTGACGAGTAATTCAACGTTATTTTAATTTTAATAAGGAGTTTCTTTATACATTTATATATCTTTATATAGTTTTATCTTTTTTGTATGGAAATAATCAGAGGCCTTCTATTTAGCGCGAGAAAATATCCCATTCCCACATCAGAACACTTTTTAATATATAAGCAATTTAGTAATTGTTTATGGGAGCATAATATTATAAACTAGCGACTTCATTTATAATTTAATTGAGCGGAACTCTTACTCTTAAGCTAAGCTTTGCCTAACGTACTCCTTATAACATCACCTATTTGAAAGTGAACGTTCCGTCAAAATCAGTCCAGCCGTTTCGGAGATTAGCCGGAATAAACAAAGAGACAGACAAAAATTTAAAAAATATAATATATGCATTTACTGAAAAGCTTTTATTTCGACATTACAAACAGACATTTCAATTTCATTTATCTATATAGATCAGAAAGGTTAAAGGTTCGCTCGTGAACATGTTTGCGTGGCATTCGAAACGTCGGGAATCAAAAACCAAAATAAATCCGCGAAATAATCCGAAAAGATAGTTTTTTTAAAGCACCTAGAGTTTCTTTGTACTGTGTTTATTATCTAATACATTACTGATTTCACAATTTGAACTTTTATTTTATCTTTCAATAAATTTTCAGTTTAAAGTTTACTCTACTTAATTTATATTTAGGAAACTGAATAATAAATGAATGAAACACATTCGTGTTTATATTTGCAGCAAACACTTCTCTACAGACAGTCCCACGTTTCATACTACACTCTGGGGCTTAGTAAATTGTGTGTTATATAAACACTAGAACCCGCGGCTTCGCTCGCGCTAAAATTACAAAAAATATCTCGAAAAAGGTATAAACTTTCATCCCCAATTTTCTCCTTTATAGGATGAATTTCGAAAAATGCTAAAACACGTAGTTATTTAATTTAGTTGAAAAATATTAATACCAAGTTTCAAGTAATTCTGATCATAAATATTTTTTTGGATTGTATTATAACGTGTTTTCCCGTGGGACTTAGATAATCTCCCGCGGTAAAAAGTAACCTATGTTACTCTCCAGCCAACTATCTCCACACAAAAAATCAAGCCAATCTGTCACTCCGTTTCGATGTGAAAGAAGGACAAACAAACAAACACACTTTCATATTTATAATATTAGTATTGACTAAGACTAGAATATTTAAAATTTACATACATTTTTATGTAAAATTCTTAAAATTGTAATGAAAATGAAAATTAAATGGCTAAAATTGAATGTAGTAATATATATATATATATATAATAGCTTTATTTCTTTCTGCATTAACACGTGTATAAAAATTGTATCTTTTTGGAACGGCTTACCTCTGCTAAAATGTCACCTTTCGCCACTGATAGGTATATTATAGTCCAAAAACGTTTTTAATTTTTTAAAACTATACTAATTGCATTAAAAAATATATCTATGCATTGTAGCTCTCCGTTTCAGTAAAGCATAATTTAGGTCAAATTATCTAACTACTTACATAATTTTATTTAACGTAGATTGATAGGATATAACATTTTTTATGTGTTTAGTATGTGCTTGTTACTCTTTAACGCTTAAACGGCTGGACCGATTTGGATGAATTTAGTACGCAGAGAGACTATGGTCTGAAGAAACACAGACTAAGGTCCTGTTAGGCTTCTAATTAGGCACCCAAGCGACACTAGGTTAAGTCGATCGTATACTGTATGCTTTAAGATTTTAAAGCTAAAGAGATATGAAAATATAATTAATCATAAGTTTTTTGGTTAATAATGTACAAAGATATCGTGCTATATACACAAAAACGCAAAACCGAACTGAGTACCCCCTTTTTGAAGTCGGTTAAAAAATAGAATTAACGATGCTGCATTCTAATAGCTTTTACATTTCCATGAACAAGTATTGAATGTTTATAAACAATTTGATTTTCATAGCTCCTGGAGTTGAGTGGATTTTCATGTAAACTTCAAGTATGGCAGATATGTATACTTTGATGTTGGATTTTTAAATATAAACTTTGTTATATAACCCTAAAGTCGATTTTAAATTAACAAAATTTAAATATAAAGGCGTCTGGACAGCTGTTATTTTGAAACATTGTTAAAGTAAGGATAAGAATTTACGAGCTTAGAGTGTCTTCTTTATATTACATTCCGTTTTATGTTCTCAGTTTTATGTAATCGATGACCCTTGCTACACTCACGTTTGAACTACATCCTACACGTACTAAGCCCACGTTTTCCCAATGTACTTATAATATCCCATGGGAAGTATGTGTGTGATGAACCGGAATGAAAACTAAAGTAAAGAGATTTTTAATCAATAAAGTATCCCTTTTAAGGCTCACTCATTCATACATATTATGGTATAGGCCAAAGTTACCTCATTGGTATGAAGAAGATTGAGACGAAATGTATGGCAAAAATAATTATTAGAGCTTTTTTCATAAAATACAAGGTTTATTAAGATATATTTGGTGCTATTTGCATTCCTAAGCTTTGCACAGTACTTTGAGGCAATCCTTTCTCAGATCTATCACTGGTCGTATCGAATTATCATCATATTGGGTAGGTATTAGTATGAAATAGATAGACTATAAATTATATGTACATATATAGGTATAATGAGTTTAATATCCCTTACTTGTGAAATGATTTCTTCTCCATACAAACCACTTTTTCATCCCTTTAAGGGATGAAAGAGCATCCCTCTTATATCCGGCATAAAAAGTATCCTATGTCCTTCCTAGGGTTTTAAACTATTTTTATACCAAATTTCACCTAAATCGTTTCAGCAGATTAATCATGAACAGTTAACAGACAGACAGTTTTATTTTTGCATTTATAACACTAGTATAGATGAGAGTGAAAGAATCGAGAGTTCACTAGTACACGGTGTTAATACATGGCTTTACGTGCTCTGGGGCATGGCAGAGTAACATTATCAATTCTCCTTTTTCCGGCTTAGATTTTTTTGATAGAAAACCGAATAATCGTCCATGGATCTAGAATTTAGGGCCTGGGTCTTAAGCACATGTGAAGTCCGTCAAGCTGCATTTGGTCAGCGTGTTGGACTATGGTATACGGTCTGATCCCCCTCCTATTGGGGATTGAAGGGAGGGCCACGCCCAGCAGTGGGACGTTAAAAAATCTGAATATAGTATACAGTGTAAATGTAAATTTGTTTGTAATACTTACTAATGGGCCGTCCTTTAAGCACTCCTTTTTTGTCCTCAACAGCATCCCCTTCATCCTTGCTTTTCGTCTTCGGGACCTCTTCCGAAACATCTGTAAAATAAATATTTTTTTGTTCTACACTTTTTTTATATTATAAGCAAAGTTCGGTACTTAAACAAGAATGTATGAAAATAACATCAAATCGTTATGTAATGTGGTCGGAATAAGTCGAATTCACATATTTTTAGTCTTTTACTAGTAAGTAGTAAAGCTACAAGTTAGCTAGATTAGTCCAGCCTTAGAGAACAGACATACTCCGCTCTAACGCCTTAATATTATATATATCTTTAATAACATTTAACAATAATTTATTTCCAATGGTTACTATTATATGAAATTTTACAAAAATAAAAATAATTTTTTTGCACCTTCTAAACGGTAATAGTCCAGCATTAGCAAAAAAGCGCGTGACCGGTGGAGTGGGAGGAGTGGAGGGGTGTAGGGAGCCGTGCTTACACATTTATACTTGACCAGATGCTTGGACTATTACCGTTTAGAAGGTGCAATAAAAATATTTTGATTTTTATACCAAAAAAAAATTTTGACTTTTTTTTACCGACGTTGTTATGATGTAAATAGTATATTCCCAAAAGATCTTCAGTAAATTAAAAATGACCCTGTATATAATAGAAACGGGCTATAAAATTGTCTATATCACTCTACTTTAAGTGTCTCTATGGACGAGTATAAGCGTCGATCTGCAACTTTGGAGATAAAGCAGCCATCATGTTCCACCAGTCAAGACGTTTTATCTCAGATACAAAGGTTCTTATCTTTTGATTGTCTAAGAAATTTCGTTACGCTAAATAATAGTCACTTCACTTTAAATACTTCAAATACAATTTGTATAAAGACACTTGTATAGAGCTTAATTTAAAGAAAGATTAAAGCTCGAAACATTAAATACCAGTATTTAAAGTATTTTTACTTAGATTAAAAATTAATCATGTGAATATTTTGAATGATTTTCATTTTTTTATTTCTTCTAATATTATCTTCATGAGGGGTTGAGATGTCTGACCGACATTAAAAACAGGGGGTTTCTCAATTTGGGTGTATGTTTGTATGAACATGGGAATATCTTGGCCAGTTATAAACGTATTATTTTTGTAATGAATAAGTTATACATAAAGAGGTTTAATAATTAATTTAAATATTTGTCTTAAAATTTTCTACCAATAAGAATATAATAAGTATTATAACGTTATCGAGTCGGTATATTTTTATAATTTTTTTTATTAAAAAATACTTTTATCTTCATAAAAAAGGAGTGTTTTGTATATGTTTGTACTATATACATTTCTAAAGCATTCATCCAATTGTGATGGTGAAATTTTCTGCGTGCGCCGTCAACAGAGAACAGACAGACAAAAATTCTAAAAACTGTATATACGGCCTTTGTATCAATAATAATGACTGCTTCAATGATTTTCCAAAAAAATATTTAATGTACAGATTCGGCTCGGTTAGAATCTATACATATAATAAAATTGTAACTAAGCCGAATCTATACATTAAATTTTTTTTTTGGAAAATCTTATCGAAACAGTCATTATCATATCTATCTATCATAGGGTGTATACTATACCTATACCCATTGAAACAAAAAAATCCAAATCGGTTCAGGCGTCTTCAAGTAATCAGTGAACATACATAAAAAAAACAAAGATTCCGACGAATTGAGAACCTCCTCCTTTTTGGAAGTCGGTTAAAAATGAAGTCGCTTCCGCTGTCTGTTTGCTTAGATCTTTTAAACTACTCAACGGATTTTATTGCAATTTTCAGCAATAGATAAAATGATTCAATAGGACTATTTATATGTATAATACATGCATATTATAGTACAAAAAAACCGAGAAATTCAAAGATTTGTATTTCATAATAACCGTTCAAACGCACCTAGGCACGAACCCAAGCGAAGCGAGGCTGAGTCGCTAGTATAATATAGAATCAAGATAGTATCTATATTACTATTATTTTTTCAACAATGTAAATCTTTATATACATTTTAATCTATTTTTATTACAAGAACAGTATATAAAAATGAATCGTCGAAAATGTTAATTTTATCTCCCATTAACATCTCATTTTAGAGCATGGCTGTAAAAAGAAGCGGTTTTATTTGTAGATAAACTTAAATTTCTTTTCTTTAGAAACATTCATTTCCTTTAAAAATGTTTATAAAAGTTTTAGAAAAAGTAAAAGCTCTTTCCAATAGACATTTTTGAAGTGTTTTTCTATTATTATATTGACTAACACAGAGGTAGTAAGTAAAGTGACGTAAATAGTGGATTCAATACTTGTCATATGCAAACAAAAAACCTTTTTATTCTGGTTTAGTTACATTTTATTATTTTAAATATATCAGCTAATGTCTTATATTTTACTAAAGGTGAAAAATGTAGGGGAGAATTTATCATGGATTAACATATTAGATGATTAAAGTACTAGCAATCGTCCGTGGCTCTACTCGCTTCACATTCCTATAAAAAATAGTTAATGAAAAAAAAATAGAACATTATGTTCAGTAGTTACAGAGATAATGTACAAATAAATAAACAATGTTTCTCTTAAAAATGTCAATAATCATTGTAATAAATAAATATATGAAAATAATCATAAAATATTTACTTAATAAATAATAAGAAATTATCTGAGAAAATTTCAAATGTTAAGTGCTAAAGTAAATGCTCGATATATTGTATAATTTTTCTGGACTACTTATTGCGTCCGATCGCATGAGAAAAGATAATAAACATAGAAATTATTCATTTCTATTCAATTTTTTATTAACAAGTTCCGTTTTAGAGAATCATGAGTGTTTTTCACATTATATTAGATACTAGCGACTCACCCTCATTTCGCTCGGGTTCGATCCCAGGTACGTTTTAACAGTTAGTATGGAATAAATAGATTATATATTATAGTACTGATATATATGTATAGTCTATAGACTTTCTCAATAAAAAATAAATAATAATAAAATTTATGTAATGCAAAAATATTTTTTCAAATCGGATTATTAGTTCCTGAGATTAGCGCGTTCAAACAAACAAACAAACAAGCAAACAAACAAACACTGCCTCTTTATAATAGTAAGTATAGATTTAGAATTATTAATGTAATAGGGGAAAATACGGTTTGTTAAATCGTATTATTGGAGTAAGTAACAAATGTAAGTCAGTCAAAGCTAAACTATATAAAATCAGTAAAAAATCAAATATCGAAAAAAAAATCTAATACTCGAATAGAACTCGCGTTCTTTTATGGAAGCTTAAAATATTTCATTAAAAGTACAAGTACTGCATGCATGTCTGAGAGATCCTAGCAAGTTTTCAAAAGACATGTGAAGTCCGCTAACCCGCACTTGGCCAGCGCGTGGACTATGGCCTGATCCCCCTCGTATTAAAGGGAGGCCCGTGCCCAGTAGTAGGACATTAAAAAAAGGGCTGAATACAAATACAAGTACTATAATCTGAATATTATTTACGCTATAGGTTCGGCTACATTTTTAACCGATTTCCAAAAAGGAGTTCTCAATTCGTAGGTTTTTTTTAATGTATGTTCACCGATTACTCGAAGACGCCTGAACCGATTTGGAAATATTTTTTTCGAAGTATACTTCTCAAGTGGTTCTATTTAAATTTTATCGAAATCGGTCGAGCTGTTTTAAAAATATTAACAATAAATTTCTTTATTAAACAAATTGCTTAATTGAATATGTTATTAAAAAACTTTCTTCTTACAAATTACCTGCTTATTACGTCTATACTAAAAATGGAAAAATAAAAACTAAAAAAAAACCAACTTCCAGCCACTAAAAAGTAAAAAATAACTAAACAGGGGTTTTCATTTAGTAGGTATATATACCTAATCCGGTGCCAGCAGACAATATTTTAAGATATGAATGTCTAATAGGTAAATATGATTAGGTATTAACTCTATAGTTAAAATATTATACATCAATTTGCGATTTATTTTACATATTATCGAAATATAATAAATTTGCTTTGCATCGGCTCACACCGACTTCGAAAATATCTGATTAGGTATCTGTGTAAAGAAAATCCCCTTTTAGTAATTTTTTTACATTTTAGTGCTTGAAAGTCTGTTTTTTTTTAAGTTTTTATTAGTTACATATTAGTTTGACATTAAAAGTTATTTCGATTTAAGGCTTTGAAATTGTAAGTCGTTTGAAAAATCTGATGATGGATTCATTCAAAGGAAGCCTATAATGTTCTTATTAATTAATAGCGACTTACCCTCGCTTCGCTCGGGTTCGTCCCTAGGTTAATTCGCCATACAAATTTTCATCCCAATTTTCACCCCCTTAAGGTATGATTTCCGGGATAAAAAGTATTCTATGTCCTTTCTAGGATCTCAAACTATCTTCTTACCAAATTTCATCTAAATCGGTTCAGTAGATCAGAGATTACACCCTACAGCGTCACAAACTCACAAACTTTACCTCTTTATAATATTAGTATAGATAAGTTTTAGGAAAATCTTTTGAATTGTACCTAGTTGATTTCGTGTAGTTATATCGATTTCAATACAAAATACACTTCGCCAGAAGCAAACATTTACCTATAGTGTAAAATTTAACACACTATATTACATCTAAATATGAATATGAGTAATGAATATTCATTGTCTGACTGCCTGGTCAAAGGTTTTGAAATTTAAAGAGTTAAGAATACCAAAAATAACATTCTAGATTTTTTGTCTCCGGGATTAAAAATATTCTATGTCCTTGGCAGGGTCTCAAACTATCTTCTTACCAAATTTCATCTAAAGCGAACCAGTAGTTTTTGGGTTTATTTGTTACAAACATACAAAAATACAAATCTTTCCTGTTTATAATAGTAGAGTAGATAAAAAAATATATACCAAAGCTGTAGTAAAGTAGGTTATAAAGGATATATATTGTTTTGTAAGACACTCTATTATAAATTCTACGCATCTAGTTTAGTCTAAACAAACAAACGATGCTCGCAATATTGCCTAAAATTTGCATTGACGTCATTTCGTTAGCGTAACATTAAAAAGCT